TTCATTTCAAGAATATTGTCCATTTTTTTTTTTTAAAAAAAATAGAGGCGACACCGAAGGCAATACTGAAGCTGATGGACACTGAGGGGCTTACTATCTTTCATGTTAAGAGCCATTTGCAGGTTTGTGTATATAAAGCCAATTGTGATTAACATTTGTTGAGCAAAAAGATAAAAAAAAAATGTTATAAATTAAGTTAATTGATTCTTTTTTTATTTTTTCCTTCTATGTAGAAATATAGAAATGCAAAGTACATACCGGAGTCCATTGAAGGTTCGATTTTGCTATATGTATTTCTTTGAAAGCTTAGCTTATCTCATGTGTAGATGGATGTGATATTCTTTCCTTTTTTTTTTTTGTTCCTGAAGGAAAAACCGAGAAGAAGACTAGCACGAATAACTCGGCTGAGATCGACATCAAAGCGTAAGAACTTGTAATCGGCTTTGTGGCAGTTTAGACGCATTATTAATTCCACCCGAATGCGTTGTCTCGATTTTCATAAAATTATGTTGGAATCATTTTGCAGAGGAATGCAACTAAAGGAGGCACTGCAGTTGCAGCTAGACGTGCAAAGGCGTCTACACGAGCAATTAGAGGTATAGCTCGAATATTATATTCTTCCAACTTATTACATCCTTTAGATAAATTTAAAGGATATTAATGACATGAACTTAAATATTTCTATTTGTTTGCTTGTATTTTTTTGGTATAGATTCAGAAGAATTTACAGATGAGGATTGAAGAACAAGGCAAGCAGCTGAAAATGATGTTCGATCAGCAACAAAAGACGACTCAAGATCGTATGCAAACAAACAATACAAGCAACGAGTGTCCTAATAACAACTCGTTCCATATGCCCGAAGATCATGAGATTTTCATTCTAGAAGGTTCTGATGATGATATGGACTTCCAGTCGATGATGAGCTAGACACCATGCGAATAAAAAGCGCTTAATTTTCTCCAAACATGACAAAGGCAGGACATTCAACAAGTCATGAACTAATTCTTTGTAATCAAAGAACGCTTTTTCTATGATGCTATTGAATATGAATGTCGAAACTTCAGGTGAACATTTGTGACAAAAATGTTTCTGAAGTCTATAGGCTTTTAAGATTTGGATATATGTCTGTATTGTATATAACACCTTGTTTTTGAAAATGTTTTAGAAAATCCAAAGTTATACAGATACTTCTATCTCACAAACATTTGTGTATCCCAAAAATGGTATTTGTGGTTACCAATTTCATTCATCTCATTTCTACTTCACTTTGCAATGGACCCTATTGTGCGGATTTCACGTAGTATATGTTTTCAATATATATATATACAATAATGCTTACCTACCCACGGTGGGCACATGTTAATATGCCTAATACCAAACCTAACTCCAGAGCAAAGATAATATAAAAACATCACGAAGCATAGATTTTCGCCATGTGAATATCCGAAACGTGAGAATCTGCCATCTAGGCTCAACACGTTTAGAATTAATATATAGAGAGGGATATTGTTTGCCCAACTAAATTTCATACGTGAGCAAAAGATTCAAGGCCCATAATGCTACATTTTAAGACCTCTAGATTTGGCCCAACTAACATGTTTTAGGCTATGCATTCAGGCCCAACTGAAACTTCTGGAAAATGTAAAAGGTAAAACCCAAATCTGGTATCTCTTCTTCAACCCCTACCCCCATAGCAAAACCCCTTTTTTCCAGCAAGAGGGAAAGAAAAGGCTCAAAGACTCACCATTTTGCTCAAAGAAGGCGACCCCTGAAAGCTTTCATGGCCTTAAAACTTCCAGAAATCCTCACAAGGTAAGAACTTCAGTTCAAATGGCCTTTTTTTAGCGACCCCCCTTTTTGCTTCAAGTTCGAAGATGAACAGATTGAATAAACGTATAATGTCCCATTTTTTCAAATGGGTTCCTCTATTAGGCGCCAAAGATTACTGTATAGCTTCAAATTCTTATTATCATGTTACTCGGCCGCGCCATATTCTGCAACACCTTCGGTTTGCTTCAACAGAGAGTGCTTTGAATTTGAGAAATGGTGGCGGCAACCTTGGTGAAGTAGTTAAAAGATCACGTTCAACGATAGAAGAAGCTGAAGCTGCTTTACTAGATTATTTTCAAATGAACAGGGGTTTACATTTTCTGGATGCTGAGAATATGAGCAAAAATACTCCGGATTTTCTTGATAAATTGTTGCAAAGGGTCAATGTTGATGATCGTAAAGCTGAAGATGGTAAAGTTAAGCGTTTGGTGGCCAGGTACTTAAGGTACCATCCCATTAATGAATTCGAGCCATTTTTCGAGAGCATAGGTTTGAAACCTTCCGAATTCTCGTCTTTACTTCCGCAGAATTTGATGTTTTTAACTGATGATGAGTTGCTGATGATGAACTATCATGTTTTGTGTAACTATGGCATCCCTCGTGGTAGGATAGGGAAGATTTATAAAGAGGCTAGAGAGGTTTTTGGGTATAATTATGGTGTTCTGATGTCAAAGCTTCAACCTTTTCAGAATTTCGGGTTGAGGCAGTCTTTCATTGCTAAGATTGTTGCTTCGAATCCTCGTCTTTTGGTTGGTGGTGGAGTGGATCCTGACTTGGCAGAGTTCTTGAAGAAATTAAAGAATGCAGGAATTGAATACGACTGCCTTGAAAATCATATATCCGGGAAGGATTCATATGATTGGAAATGCATGATTGAGGTCATTCCCTCTTTACACAAACTTGGTTTGAGTGATGAACAATCACGGCGGATAATTACTTTACATCCTGATATTCTTCTCGAATCATCCGGGCGCATTACGTTTTGCTTGTTCGGGTCCTTGTTGAAATTCGGGGCCACGTCGAACATCATTCAAAATGTGCTCCTCGAGTTTCCAAAGATTCACCTTGTGAAATTCACGCGTAATTTCTTCCGTTGTTGTAAACTTTTTGTTGAAATCAAAATGGACGCCCAAGATATCAGTAAGATTGTTTGTTCGCACGCGACCGTTTTGGGAACTTGTGAAATCAAGATGGCGAAGAGCTTGAGAAATGGACTCCACTGCGGTCATTCCAGGTTGTGTCAATTGATCAATGACGACCCATGTATATTGAAGAAATGGGTTTGCGGGCTTAAATTGGTCCCTCTTCCACTGCAGAAGGTGCCTATAGACGTAAAGAAGGTGAAAACCGAGTTCTTGGTGAGCCTAGGCTTTTTGGAAAACTCAAAGGAGATCGAAAAGGTTCTTAAGAAGTTACGAGGCAGAGGAACCGAGCTTCGCGAGAGGTTTGATTGTTTGATTGAAATCGGTTTGAGACGCGAAGACGTTATAAAGATGGTCAAATCGAGCCCACATATTCTTAACCAGTCAACCGATGTTATTAGGCGCAAGGCCGATGCTCTTGTGAAAGAGTTGGGATTATCGGCGTCCGATTTGGGTGCTTTTCCCAAACTCATGTCGTATACCACCAGTCGAGTGAAGCTTAGGCTTTTCATGTATGAATGGCTCAAAGGGAAGGGGTTCGTTCGTGCGGGTTTGACCTTTAGCACTCTCTTGTCGCTCTCGGATGAAAACTTCGTGAAGGTTTATGTGAATCCTCATCGTGGTGGAATAGAATATTGGAAAGAGCTGAAGAAAAGGGTGTAATCTGACTGACTGGATAATAACCACTTCTGGGATTGTTGTGAACAGAGCCTTTTGTTCTTTAGAGTTCTATTGGGCTGAGCTCAAAAATAGTCATTCATACATGGGATCAGGTAATTGTTCTTAGTTTCACTTGTTCGTATATGTTTGTGTCGTCTGAAATTATTCAAGATTGGGTTGGAATTGATTTGGCTAATGGTGAAATACTTTTGTGTTGTGTTCATTTGTTTTTAATATTACATTTTCTTTCTGGAGTTGATGTTGATTGTCATGGCCTTAAATTCATGTTGAAGTTGCAGTTTTGTTCCAGACGAGTTATTTAGGGTGCGATCGTATGTAAGAGTTTTTCGAAAAATTATACCTCGCCCAAAAAGCGAGATGAGAAAGTGGAAACAAAGTTGT